CCTTAAAGTTTGCAATGCAACGACGAACCGTGGTGGATCATGAATCGGAAAGGTAAAATCACAGGCGTAACTTTCTGAAGGACTTGTGTGGACATGTCCCCACCAATAATTAACGCTTTTTTCCCCCCTTTCCGCTCATTTACTTTAGCCAAAGGAACCAGAGGTTGGGTGCAGCGATTTGAGTCTATGTTTTTTTCCTCTCTCACGCTGCTCCCATGTCCTGCCTCTCAGTGTAAAATCATCAGATTTGTTGCTTTGAGACATTTGCTTTGCGGTCACATTTCACTGCATAGAGAGTAGCTACGTGGTTGAAGGAGAGAGACACAGCAGCACTCACTGAATATTAACTAGCAGCTACTTTGATGTTTAAGTAAAAGTATAAAAAATTAGAGATGCCTCAGAAAAATCCGTTGGGCAGACATACAGAGCTTTTTCCACAAAAACGGCATCAGATTGTAAGTTTATACAAGTTAGTATTATAATGCAAGAAGCATGAGAAAATATAGTTTCAATGTTCTTTACTATAACATCTTGGCTTCTCAGAGGACTCTCAGTAACAGGTTAAAGTTAACATGTTTTCTTATTGTGCAGACAGAATCAGACTGCAGAGCTTCTACATATCATCATATTAGTAAAAAGGTTCATAAATCTTTTTAAACAGAGCACAGAGAGAAGTGGGGAGAACTGCAGATTTAAAGGTGAAACAGATTTACTGAGATATGCACCATGCAATAAAGTACATTTCCAAGTTTACCAGAAAGTTTAAAAGTAAAGAAAAGTTTATATTGAAAATGCAGGATATCCATATTTTTTCTGGATGGAATTGAAATTATACTTCAAAGGATGCATGATGTATTGATTTTGGCATCGGAATCTGCTGTCCCCACAAACTTTCATCACAAAGTTACACCTTTGGGTGAAATAACAGATTCCCCGCCCCCCCCCCCCCCCCCCCCCCCCCCCTTTTACCTGATGTATTCCAACATCCAACTGCCGTGCACCTGGGCATTGTCACTTGAATTTCAATGGTGAACGCCTCTCCAAATCTTAAATAATTGTTGCTGATTGCATGTGTGTCTTAGCCTCGTGAGACCATCCTGATCTCGCGAGCTTTCAAGATTTCACTCGCTAATCAGTCTGGAGACTCTCCGTTGAAGAAAATTTGCAGTCCTTTACCAAACGAACGTCCAATCAGCGTTGGCTTTGAGGCGGGTTGAGGTGTGACGCAACGAGAAGCGCGACAGTTCAGTCTAAAGAACATGGCGGCTTCAGCCGATGAAACTAGCGTTAGCGTGGCTATCGAACAAGTTTTATCGGAATTACAGAGTATTTCTTCACTGAAAGAAGAGCAAAACACTGCTCTGGAGGCTTTTCTCAGAGGAAAAGATGTTTTTGCTCTTCTCCCGACTGGTTTCGGCAAGATTAGCCTGGCTGTTAGTACGTCATATGTTTCGTTGATCTGATTGGTTTATTTGGCCCGTCTATCACCAACATAGGCCAATCAGCTAATCAGTATTTTCGCCCCTTCCCAAAATTACTTCAACCGAAGGTTTCCAGATGGGTATGCGGAGCAAATCCATCTGGCGGAGTCAGGTTATGTGTGTCTAGTAGTTCCCATTGATTTTGCTTGTAAAGCAGGAAGAATCGCGCTAGGCTTACCACACCGTGACGTCACTGCCGGAAGATGTCAGGAGTGAGGCGAAACATTTTTTTCTGATTAACACTAAATTAATTAAATCACTGCAAAGGTATTCGTTTTAGGTATAGATAATAATACATTGATTATTCCTTGCCGACCGGACTTCTACTTTAACATTTTTCACTGAGCTAAAAGGAAACATTTAGAATAAACACAGAAAACCTGATTTTATTAGGGTTTATTTTTATGTACATATTAGATATAGTTCCTCCAATCAGACCTTTGATTTTAAAAGCATTGATAAAAGGGTATGGATCTGTTGTGTTATGCAGTGATGTGAACAGATGTTGTCTAACAGATGTTGCATGAAATCTTATAGCAGATATCAACTGGAGATTATTGACCAGGAATGTGTTTACTCTCTGATCCTCCCAGAAAACTGAAAGACCTTCAGAGAACAGCTGTATTCATACAGAGAGGTCAGATTACACACAGTTGGACTCTGTTCACTAGTGGAGTAACTTCTAAAGGCAGCAGTACAGATTTCCTTTTTGAGACTGTCAGAGTAAAGAATGGGCTCAAAATATAAATTATAAACAAAACAAAAAAAAGATTTTAAATTCAAGAGTTAATTGAACTTTTCCCTTTTCCATGGGAGAACTGCCAGTTCCTCTGTCAGGCTCGTTGAGAACCGGATGCCTGCAGCTCTTGGCTGGTGGGATTTCATGTGAATGCTGCTGTAGCTGGCCTGCCAATTGCACCAACAGCATGAAACAATGTAATGTAGCCAAACCAACACCTTAGGCACGGGTTAACCATGTTGACACATAGTTCTATCAACATAGGAAGTAGGAACACTCCAGCTGAACTTGTGGCGCAAGCAAGCACATGTCTGATGCCAAGTTTAATTTATGCCTCCATGGAATCCTCCCTATTCTGAAGGAGGGCCTGGGGTTTGTGTCCAAAATACATTTTGTTAATATCATTAAATTTGCATTTGTTAATTAATTATTGAGTCATCTCCAGGATTTCAATGCTTGCTTAAAGGGGAACACCATTTTATTTTTATTTTTTTTACACTGGCCCCTTGATTTTACATTATTACATCATGTTCTACTCACCTATAATAGTTTTGTGTCATTTGGAGCCGTTCTGAAGATATTCCGTTAGGTTATATCCAAGTAACGTCTTCCTTTGGGCAACGACTTGAAAGCACACACTAAACTGTTCATAATTTATCATTTATAGTACGCCAGCATTCATAACATGTAGGCGAATCACTGTCCCCCTGACATCCGTGGTTATATTTTTCATATTTATATTTTTTTTAAACAAAGCGGAGTGAGTGTGACGTGTGTATGACGTTATCCGCACGCAGGACTGGAGTTGTGACAGGCAGCCCCGGCCACAGGCGGCTATGCTCTAGCCCTTCTATTAATTCGGCGAGCTAATCTGAATCGTTCAATTCTATTTCGAGAGCGAGATCATCTGTTGTAGCAGCACTAGACATCTTCCAGGCATGTGAGTAAAACTAGCAGCAGTTCAGAGGACAGGAAGAATGAATAATAGCCAGCGCGCGTGGATGACGTCATACACACTCCACTTTGTTTTTAAAAGATATAAATATAAATAATATAACCGCGGATATCTGGGGGACAGTGACTCACCTACATGATTGACAAATCGTGGTGTTCTCTAGCAAATGCGAAGCATCCTGCATGGTGTTGGGTCTCATACCATCCTCATGGAGTCTGTTTCTAAATGTTTGTGCAAACACATGCACAACTGTGGCCTTTTTGAGGGTTGTTGCCCTCCTGCGGCTTCCTCCAAGTCTCCTGGTAGCGCCTCCAGCCGCTGACAGACACGGCAAACATTTTATCACAGTTGGCATTGATGTGCCATCCTGGATGAGTTGCATTGCCTGAGCCACTTGTGTGGGTTGTAGAGTCTGTCATATGCTACCACAAGTGTCAAACGATCACCACCATTCAAAACACAACATTTTTTTGTTATTTTGTAAACGCAGTGTATACAAAATGAAATATTGTTTTGTAAAGCTTTTGGGACATTTCTGTTTCTTACTGTTCAGCAGTGATCAAGTTTAAACAGTGTGGGAGAAAAAACATTGTGAGCATTCTGAAGGGCATATTTTGTGGAATTGTCAAAAGAATTGTCGAGAGCTGTATCAGGCCGCTGCCGCCATGCACCGCCATGCCAGCCAAAAAGCATAGGTACTAAGAAGTGGTCTGTGGTCCCCACCTGCAGAACCACTCCTTTAATGAGTGTGTCTGGCTATTGCTCATAATTTCCTCCCATAATCCATTTGCACAACAGCATGCGAAACTGTCACTTTTGCTGCCTAAGTGTACAGTTTGACTTCACACAAGCTTTGATTGAAATTATAATGTGCTTTTTATGTGTTCGCTTTTTTGAATAGGGTAAGGTTTTCGTATTAAATGCTGCTAAATAAAAATGTTGACCAACTTCTAAGATTTTTCTGTATAGAAAAAGATAAACCATTAGTAAATTCCCTCATCTGCTACTTTTTGCTGTTCTAACACATTAGCAATTAGGCGAGTGCTATCAACAAAACTTCAAGAGGTGGAAATACTTGGACAAGCCAATGTAAACATGATCACTAAAGTCCTTTTTTGGGATTAAATTAAGTCCAAAGTGTGTTTTTAAGTAACATCCATACTCCAAAAAAGTGCTTAACTCTTTCTTTTATAGTGTCTATTCACTGCTGTGTTTAAGTGATTGTAACAGGTGAGTTTGTTTATTACATGAAATTAAGCAGACATGTAAGATTTACGAGACTGTTGCTTTCTGTTCTTGGCTTACACAGAGCTCATTTCCTCCAGTGTTCCTCCTTCCTAAATGTTTTGGCACTACATTGTGAGAGGAAATTCTCCAAGACATAATCCCTTTTGATATAATAGTTGTACTGTTTTAATCTGTTTGAGACCACCCACTTGGGCGGCTGGGGGAAACTGTGGGAAGCCTCATTATGCAGAATTTGTTACCTCTAGTATAATATTTGCACCTCTCTAAAACCGTTACTTTATTCTATAATCACTGTTATTATAGCAGAGGATTTATGTCAGCTGTGCGGACAGTATTTACACACAAAGAACTTTTTTTTTTTTTTATTTACTGCAGACTAAAAACCAAACCTTTCTCCCATAAAAAAATTGAAATGAACCAATGCACCACTTTAGCCTGCAACATTTATTTTGTTTAGCAACAATAATTTAAATAAAACAACCCAAACATCAATAACAGAACAGAACCCACAAAGACATACAATTCTAAAGCTTTCTACACTTTCAAATCGTACTTTTTTCCCTTTTTATTTGGCATTCCTATCACTCCAGAACTGTGAACAACTAAATAAAGAAGCAGCTTTGTCAATAGACATGCTTGCTCTCCTAAATGGGATGTTTCCGCTGAGCTGATGAGGTAAGTTTCACACAGTTTCCACATCTCATGCAGAGTAAGCTGGAGTTGCCCTCCTTCCGGGGAATAAGCCAGCATTTGACACAGCGCACTCTGTACTTCTTATACCTTGTAAAATAGTAAGATATAAACTTTAGTGTATGAATTACAGACTTTAAGCACCTTCCACATTGTAGATTTTTAGCTTTGAATGTTGATTCAAATTAGCCTAAATATTGAGAATATTGTTAGAAGCATTGAGAGCTAGACTGAAAGGGTTCTTAAAACTTTAAATATCTAAAACTAAAAGAAAACTCAAAAATTACCTTATGCCACAAGCATTACAGAGAGGAGTCCCGTTCTCTGCATCTCTCCACATAGGGGTCTTTCTGGTGCAGCAGGATGCACAGATTTTTCCCTCTGGGAAACAGATTGAAAGCATACATTAGCCTTATATTAGGAAGGTCAGCAAAATTAATAATAGTCAAGTTGAAGTGTTAATGCAAACTTAAGCAAAACTCGTAACACTTTTGGATCTTATTTAGATGTTAAGACCAATGTGTTATATGTACACATTAAGGTCAAATCTGTGAAACCAAATATATATAGAAAAAGGAGAAAAAAAAAAAAAAGAAGTGGGTAAATGGTTGCCCCATCTGGCTATAAAAGTACCTCCAGGTAAATTTTTACTTTTACCAACATGTCCCTTTGTCTCTGGTTGTACTGCTTTAGCAGAAGGTGTACCAAACAAAGCTTGAAAAGAAAGGAACATATGAGAAGAAATCCTACAAAACTTTTCACTTTATTATTAAAAGTCAGTTGTACATTTTTTGGTTATGCAACTCTGACAACGTACGTGACAAAACTTGACTTTCTGTGACAGCTTTAACCACACTGATTACAGTAAAATACGTTTTAATATGAAAGCCTTTAAAAGTAAAATCATGCCAAAGATTCAAACCAATAAATATGAATTTTTAACTTTGGCCAAAGCATTAATTTGCTAAAGTCGTTTTACCATATGAATTTTCAAAGTTAAATATAAAAACATTTATTTCATTTGAATGTAGAAAAACTAAATTAAAAATAATGCATCTTTACACTATTTTGATACGTCATGGCTTGGTTAAAATATTAGATCAGAAAATAATGCATTTGCACATTCTGTTACCAGAGTCTGAAAGTATGTCAAGATGATAACATTTTGGTATATTCTTTGGATTAACAGAATACTACTTTAATAGTTTGGGAAGTTTGAAGTTTTGTCATATTTTCTGAAATCTGGAAAAAAAATCACTTTTGTTACAGTTTACTTCCGTTTAAGGATCTGGTGAATAAAGATGGTTTTTAAAAGGATTATAAAAGCTCAAGGCCAGAGAAAATAGTTAGGCCTTATGTGCATCTTTTTAGGTTTACTTTAGTGTAGGTTAGTGTGGTACAAAGCTCAGAGTCTTTAGATTCAGGACACTTTAAACTGAGCGTGAAGTTAACCGTTTATGGTCTAGTGGCGCCTCCTACTGGCGCCGTTTCCATTTCAGTTGTCCCAACAGGCAGAGCCTTGATATTTCAGTAAGAAGTTGGTATTATATCTAAGCTGATGAACATTTGGTGTCATGTTCTTCACGAAGAATATTTAAAGTCAGTTTATATCTTCCCAATAATCAAGCAAATCAAACCTAAAATGTAAACTATTTCCTTTGTCTGTAAGCTCACAGGCAAACAAAGACCACATACACTCACCGGCCACTTTATTAGGTACCCCATGCTAGTAATGGGTTGGACCCCCTTTTGCCTTCAGAACTGCCTCAATTCTTCGTGGCATAGATTCAACAAGGTGCTGGAAGCATTCCTCGGGGAGTTTGGTCCATATTGACATGATGGCATCACACAGTTGCCGCAGATTTGTCGGCTGCACATCCATGATGCGAATCTCCCGTTCCACCACATCCCAAAGATGCTCTATTGGATTGAGATCTGGTGACTGTGGAGGCCATTTGAGTACAGTGAACTCATTGTCATGTTCAAGAAACCAGTCTGAGATGATTCCAGCTTTATGACATGGCGCATTATCCTGCTGAAAGTAGCCATCAGAAGTTGGGTACATTGTGGTCATAAAGGGATGGACATGGTCAGCAACAATACTCAGGCAGGCTGTGGCGTTGCAACGATGCTCAATTGGTACCAAGAACCCAAAGAGTGCCAAGAAAATATTCCCCACACCATGACACCACCACCACCAGCCTGAACCGTTGATACAAGGCAGGATGGATCCATGCTTTCATGTTGTAGACGCCAAATTCTGACCCTACCATCCGAATGTCGCAGCAGAAATCGAGACTCATCAGACCAGGCAACATTTTTCCAATCTTCTATTGTCCAATTTCGATGAGCTTGTGCAAATTGTAGCCTCAGTTTCCTGTTCTTAGCTGAAAGGAGTGACACCCGGTGTGGTCTTCTGCTGCTGTAGCCCATCTGCCTCAAAGTTCGACGTACTGTGCGTTCAGAGATGCTCTTCTGCCCACCTTGGTTGTAACGGGTGGTTATTTGAGTCACTGTTGCCCTTCTATCAGCTCGAACCAGTCTGGCCATTCTCCTCTGACCTCTGGCTTCAACAAGGCATTTCCGCCCACAGAACTGCCGCTCACTGGATGTTTTTTCTTTTTCCGACCATTCTCTGTAAACCCTAGAGATGGTTGTGCGTGAAAATCCCAGTAGATCAGCAGTTTCTGAAATACTCAGACCAGCCCTTCTGGCACCAACAATCATGCCACGTTCAAAGTCACTCAAATCACCTTTCTTCCCCATACTGATGCTCGGTTTGAACTGCAGGAGATTGTCTTGACCATGTCTACATGCCTAAATGCACTGAGTTGCCGCCATGTGATTGGCTGCTTAGAAATTAAGTGTTAACGAGCAGTTGGACAGGTGTACCTAATAAAGTGGCCAGTGAATGTAAAGCTAAGGGACATATTCTCTGTAGCACATAAGAATATAATTTTTCTCTTTTTTTTTTGGATCAAAAACTTTCATTTGTATTAAGGAACCTGCAGCACTTTTTTCTTTGATGGTAAATTTAAAAGTTAAATAAAATATTGCTTGGATTCGGCAGGGATTATTTTATATGCATTTTACTTCAAGGGGAACACAGTATTTTTTTTTTTACATTGGCCCCTTGATTTTACGTTATTATATCAGGTTCTACTCACCCATATTAATTTTGTATATTTATATTTTTTTTAACCAAAGCAGAGTGTGTATGACGTCATCCACGCGCGCCGGCTACCATTCATTCATCCTGTCTGCTGAACTGCTGCTAGTTTTACTCACGTGCCTGGAAGATGTCTAGTGCTGCTACCACAGATGATCTCGCTCTCCAAATGGAATTGAACGATTCAGATTAGCTAGCCGAATGAATAGAAGGGGTAGAGCGTAGGCGCCTGTGGCCCGGGCTGCCTGTCACAACTCCAGTCCGGCGCGCATGACATCACACACACTCTTTAAAAAATATATACAAATTATAACCGTGGATGTCTGGGGCACAGTGATTCGCCTACATGTTATGAATGCTGGCGTACCATAAAGAATAAATTATGAACAGTTCAGTTTGAGCTTTCAAGTCGTTGCCCAAAGGAAGACGTTACTTGGATATAACCTAACCAATTATCTTCAGAACGGCTCCAAATGACACAAAATTAATATGGGTGAGTAGAACATGATGTAATAACGTAAAATCAAGGGGCCAATGTAAAAAAAAAAGGTGTTCCCCTTTAACAGCAGACATCCAACTGTAAACTTGTATCAGCTGGTACGTAGTACCTTTGCCCCCACTCTTAAATTTTTAACCCAACTAATTCAAATGTGTTTTAATCGTATTTTTTTTTTGATGGATCTGCACCAAGTTCAAATAGGTGAAGGGAAATGCTATGAAGCACCAAAACTATCATGGTGGAACCATTCATCTTAAAATTCACATAATTAGTAAAATGTAGTCCCCCGGTAAGTAGGTTAGGTGTCATATGATCTGTCAGTAAGGCTCAATCCCAAACTGGCACCTAAACACTAAGTGTGAGCACTAACCCTCCTTTTGTGCCACACCAAGTCCCATCCCAGACCACGTAGTGGGTAGGCCCAGCCCTTAAAAATAGCAAGTCTGCATCAGTTGTCGGGACTGTTTTGCGGCTTCTTCGTCACACTGACAGAAAAGTTAGTATATAGAGAAAAAAAATAATTAACCAAAATGAAGGTCCTCCTTGAAATAGTTTTATTTGACCATAAACATTTTTTTAAGAAAGGGGCAAATGTTTAATGTTATGTTAACCTGTGCCACAGAGCTACAGCACGCACATTGGGTGTCTGTGTGTTGCAATAATAACGACTGTTTTCCTTTGCCGTTGGAGGGAAGAAGCCGTCCTTTTCATTGTCGCTTATGAGAGCCTTTTTTCATCATTATATCACCATTCTCCCACTCTGCAGAATTTGTTAGTTTTATCTCTAATTTTATCCTCTCTCTGCTTTTTTCTCATCTTAGTAGCTTCATCTGGTCTGTTCCTGTTTGGCTGTGACACCATCCTAGGGCTGGGCGATATGGGCGACCTATGTGGTCCCGGAGAGAAATATCAGCTGTGCTGCTGACATCAATACCTTTGTTTATAGATGTTGGAGCTTGGTCTGTTTTACAGTGTAGTCCTGTTTCTCTGACTGACTGGCTGTATGTGCTCCCTTTCATCCTCTGACATAGGAGCTGGCTAAGAGCTTGTCTGCCTGGCTGTGTGTTTCCTAGACAGGGCTGCCTGTGGAGCTGGTTGAAAGTTGCCTTCTGTATCTCTGCTTCTGTTTCTATGTCTGCTTCTGTCTCCTTGAAGCCTAGTGGGCCTCAGCAGATTGCCACTCACACTAAGCCTGGTTCTGGTGAAGTTTTCTTACTGTTAAAAGGGAGTTTTACTCTGCAATGGTGCTACAAGCATGCTTGGTTTGACGGGATTGCTTTCGAGTCAATGAGTCAATGCAGTCAGCTGATTTTACTTTGAATCAATCAGACTATGATCTGGTTGCATTATCTCTGTAAAGTGCCTTGAGATGACATGTGTTGTGAATTGGCGCTATATAAATAAAATTAATTGAATATGTGATGGGATGGCCTCCACATCTAAATCTAATTCAGAATCTTTGGTTAGACTTGAAGATCGCGAAAGCTAAAACCATCCAACATGATGCAGCTGGAGCAGCTTTGCCCAGGGCAAACTGTTTTCAAGTGACTCACAGCTCTAATTGTTGGTACTACTGCAAAAACCAATACAAAGGAGGTGAACAGTTATGCATGCTGACTTTTCCATTATGTTGTCTTTTTTGTTGCTTACATCAAATAAAAATAAATTAATGCATTTTCAAAGTTGTAGGCATGTTTAGTAAATGAAATGCTAGAAATTCTCAAACTAAACATGCCAAGAGACTTACAGAGCTCTGCAAGGCTGTTCAGCGCTTCTACAAAAATAAATATAATTTTTAAACATTTTGAATTTCATGAGTAACTTACTATGAGCCATCTGGTCATTCTCTTCATCTGAACTGCTGGTTTTAGCCAATCTCTGTGATGTCCGTGTCCTCAGCTTCGGTTTCCTCCCCGTTTGGCAGAGCTCCTTGCTGCCATGAAAACAGGTGTTATAGGTGTACAATCAGCTCCAAATAAAGATTCAAAAATTCCAACACTAAAACACAATGAAGGCACCTTCACCTGTACTTTGAAGTAATGAGAAGCCGACACTGTTCCCTGTTGTCGTCCAGTTCTGCTTCTATCCTGAAAGCTACGCCCTGAAAGCCTGGGTCTTGAATATCAGCGCTGCGAGATGGGTGAGGTTGTTTCCTTTGAGTTTTCGGTCTACATTTGTTGGTACAAGGTTCATCTTTTTCATCATTTCTTTCCCTCCGACGTTCTGGTGCTGTTGCCGTCAACAAATCCAACCTAGGGGATGTTGAATTATCAGCTGCTGCTTCGTTCTCTTCATTGGTTGGATGACGGCGTTCTAATTTATGTGCCTGTGCTGAGATTAACTGATTACTCTCTGTTGTGTTTGAAATGAGGGACAGGTCTGCACCAGCAGGAGGTAGCTGGCTCTTACATGGTTGCTCAGTAGGAAAAGTAACATTTGCATTGTGATCTAGTATTTCTGCTGGTTTTGGATTATTTCTGTCCTCCATAGAGGATGAACTAGGAGTAATCTGGGTGCTGAAACAAATGGGGATGTGCTTTTGTTGCAAAGCATTTTCAGTGAGACGTGCATTTAAATTGAAAGGACACCTCTGGATCAAATCCATAGATTTGTTGACACCAGATTTAAGAAGATCAGCAGTCTCCGTCTTTCTGCTACACCCCTCAACAGCATCTGATACAACCTCATCACAGCTACCTTTCAAATCCTCAAAAGTACAGACAGATGTTGGAGATTTTTGCCCCTCGCAGAGTTGCAGTGATGGGGCTAGAGGGCCTTCTGTAACTCCCCCCTCCTTTACACCTGGTGCTGCGGTTGTAAAGGTGCCATTAGAGTGGCCTCCTCTTGAAGAAGACAATCCTAAACTAAAGCTTGGCATCTCTACATCTTCCTCATTGAGGAGCCTTTCACAGTGCAGGTTGATAAGGCTGAGCGCCTTCCAGGGGCTGTTCCGTTCGCTGTGTGGCAGGGTTAAGGCATCGCTGCTGTGACCCTCCTCCATCACATTTTCCATGTGATTGTACGGTTTCATGCAACTCAAATCTTGTCGGTGGTAACTATGAGCAGACTGAAATAATTGCTCATTCACAAGAGGAGCCTCAGCAGAGATGCAAGTAGTTGGCTCTTGCTTTTCCTTTTTGGACTTCTGATCATCCGAAGCGTCAGGCTTTTTTAAAGACGGCTTTGTGTCTGGTAAACTGTTGGGAATTGGTGCTGCAAGCTTAGAAACTTCATTAAAGAGGTAAAGGAGGGCCGGACGTGAATCATTGTGTTCCACTCTGCTCTGGTTTTCCTGGAGAATGGGGGCTTCAGTCCGTGGCACTGTGCTCATGCTAAGGCAAGATCTGGGAAATGACCAAGAACAAAGATAAATTACTGGCATCAGAAACCCAGAGAATTGAAACATCTTTCTTTAGAAATTACAACAGAGTCCAATATAATCCATCTCTTGAAGGGGGGTATTATCTGATCTTTATCCCTGGCTCTCTCCTCTGCTCAGCTAACTGTCTCTACTAGATACATCTGCTAAGGTAACATCTTCTATATTCAGTTTCATAGTTTCATATCATTTTTATAGAAAGTACTCCTAATTGTAATGTATTCTTCTCCCTTCTCATCCATTAATTAACCGTAGAAAATGGACTTTCATGCAGAGCCTGGTTCTGTTAAAGGTTTCCTCCCATTAACGGAAATGTTCTTCCCAATGTCGCCACATGAATACTCAGTAAGGATCCAATTTTCAAAGAGCAATTTTATACAAACTGTTTTTGATTAAACTGTGTAATGACAACAATGTAACTGGCCTGTATATGTTTGACTTTGTATCTGTAAGTAGGATTGGACTGATATAAATATTACCGTAGATTCCAGCAAAACTAGAAAGTAAACTTGGGCCATTTAAGATAACAATTGACTTCAGTTATTATTGTGCAGATATAGATATTAATTAGGTTACTATTTAAAGGTTAGTTTAGTAAATCTGATGTGAATTAGAAAAATCATGCAAAGAAACACAAAAAGTAAAAAATATGAATTCCAGATCTCTGAATATTTTCAGATTTACGTTTATTTACGTTTATATGGCCTTAATTTGGGCAATACAAACAAGATGATCTGCAAATCAGATGCAAATGGAACGAGTATTTCTCGACCTTAAAATAACAAAATTAGATATTATCCACTTAAAGGGGAGATCTTGGAAAAAACGGTTCCAGCAAGCTATATTTTTGAACATATACAACCATGCCTCTCCGTTCAGACCACCCCTCCAAACCACGCCCTCAATAAACAAGAAACGTGCATGCTGTCTGCAGCGCATCTAGAGCAGCAGGAGCAGCACGACGCTGATCTCAGAGCTGGCAGGGAGACAGGCAGCACTGATGATGCAGAGCGCTATGATCACTCCTCTGAAACAGTTTATTAATGCCTAAATTAACTTAAAATGTCGAAAAACATGTTCGCTTTTATTATCATGGTGCCTGCAGTTTGGATTATGTAAATAAAAATCGCCTTCCAGCCCCCGCGGCAAACCGTGGGGAGGCGATTGGGCCAGAGGCTGCTGTTGAATGGGATTCCTAGTGACAGCACACCGCCGTTGTACAGGGTTCTGAGCGGCTCCAAAACAAATAATATTTGAAGGCAGGATTATAATCTGGATGAACTGACTGCACTGAAAATGTTTTCAGGTGGACTTTCTCACTTCAAAATAGATTTCAACTACTTTTTACCCACTGATCACAGCAAATACAGCTGCCATTGTTACAGGCAAAGAAAGGATAGGGTAGCTCTGCCCAACGCGCCTAAGACGTACTTTTTCCATCACGCAGCCAGAGCAGCAAAGATGCTTCAGTCACGCATCAGAAATAAACTTGTACAAGCATGAAAAATGAAGCAGAATTAAGAAGATTTTGCTTCTCTTGCTGCTTTAGGTGTGAACGTAGCATTACAGTGACTAGCTTCCAGCCATGCACAAGCATTGGGGGGGTTGATTCGTTCATGTGTCAGGGTACGCGCACAGGGGGGAGGGACAAGCAGACGACCATGATGTCACAAACCAATCGTGTATAACGGACCGTCTTTTGTGATTGGTTGAGGTTTTTCATTAATTTCTCACTGTAGCGTGGAGGATTTATTTTAGTTTCACTTCCAGATAGTCACTGCTTGCTAAGCTGCTGTGGGGAGATCTTTAAGCCACATGTTAAAAAATGCATCAGAAAAGATCTCCTTCTACACCTTTAAAATAAGATAATGAAGTAGTTTTTTGTTTTATTTTTGTTTTTTAGATCAATCATTGTATTTTATTGGCTAATTGACTTACCTCCTAAGGAAAAACACACTTTTTTTCTAAATATTTTAAATGTTAATCTAAAATTTTTTTTTTTAAATGTGTATTTTTTATGTCGTAATCAGGGTCATTTGGTGGGTGGGGCAGCGCCCTAGCATCCTGTATTGGCCAACCACCACTGGTTAGGATTGAGGGCAGCATCAAAGCTTTTACAGCAACAATGCAAGAAATGTATCAAGGACATGGGGGACATCTGCATTCTGAACCAGAGAAAACAGATTGGGCTAGAAATAAAAAGGACTGGACCCTTCCTCAAATGTCAGTTTTATTTAAAAATCCTACATTTGTAGTTGGAAATCTAGATTCAAGAAGCTAAAGTAGTGGGTAGAGATACAAGGAATTAAGGTACAATATGCCATCTGCTAGTGCTAGTGCAGAGTGTTTTATCAGGTCTAAAGTATTGGAAAATTATCAGAGCAATTGCTATGCTCTGTCAACAGGGACGGAGCTAGATGGTGGCCAGAGCCAATCATTAGCCACCCCTACCATTTTCTCCCTCTAATACAGACAGTGGCAGCAGTAATACTCTCAAGTGTATTCAAAGAAGAATATTCAAAACATTTAAAATTTTCATATATTAACAATTACTTGACAACAAAAACACTGTGGTTAAATATGCACATTAAAATACTAACATTAAAGATGATAACATAATGCATGCTCTTTCCATTACTAGATTTGGTGTTTTATGGGGTAAAGTGAAAATGATGTGTCTCTGGAAGCCATCTGGAAGTCTTCAGTGAAGTCATAGATAAATAACCTTTTTAATAAAAACTTAATCAATTTATGTAGACATCAGTACTAGTAAATATCAATTTTATCCAGAATGATTGTTGATAAAAGTAGGTAAGATGTTCACCCCAGAACTCAAACGTGAAAGGATTTTATCCACCTTTAATCTGGATGTTTAAATATATGCGTCTACTTGTTAGCAAAGGCTGTAGGAAAGTATAGTTTGTCATCCATATTTAGAAAATATTGATGTGTTGCTCATTAACTTTCCTGTTGGAAGAGTGTAGATTGACCCGGAGGTTCTGGTGCCACCCCTCAGTTATTGCCTGGCCACCCTAATAAACATTTCCTGTCTGTCAAGTGAAAGTGAGCTAAAAACGTTCATTAAAAATACTAAAATGTCTGTCATCAATGGTCAAATTACGGTAAAGAAAAAGAACATTTTATGTGGCCACAACCTTTATTACACACACAACAGTAGATGTTTATATTTTCTCATTATAAGGCAACAACATTGACAGAAACTCAGGTGTTCAAGACATTTTTTAGTAAATAAATTACCTGTTAAGTCTTCGTGGGCTAGTAGCAGAAATGTTTTCCAATGTAAAAGCGTAGCAAAGTATGTAAAACAATGGAAACACACTAAGACTTTTTAGGAATTTGTTGCCTTAAGTAAAGACTGACCTTTTAAACTCACCAAAAAGTATGAAGGGACTTAGTTCTTGTTTAATTTGGTTGTGAAAAGCCTCTCGTTTTGTTCTGACTTCCAGAACTTTAAAGGCTTCGCGCGCGCGGCGGCATACATCAATAGCCTGCTCCCCCAGAGGGCGGCACACTGCCCGGTATCATCTGGGCTCAGTCTTCATGGACCAAAACAAGGAAAGCCCGGACCCAGTTTATGTTCTGCTCCTGATAATCAAATTGGTTCCCCTCGGATTTTTAATCAAGAGCAAATTTTCTTTTAAAGTAGAGCGAAATCAGATCACAAATAATGACCCAAAAAAACAAACCAGATCGTAAATAAATAAAACTTGGATTTCGCAGGTGTTAAGTTTGAGTTGCTAACTAGAAACATTATATTCGCATACTTTAGTGATCAAAACTCACCTTAGATCCTGAAAAAAATGAAATAAAAATTGCTCTAAAATTTATAGAAATGCAAATCTTTGTACTTATTAGGATTTTCAACCCGATGGAGCAGATTTTCTCTGTCGGGCTTTGGATCAGCTGGAAGCCACGCGGGTGTTTCTGATTTACTAGATTACACTCAGTATAAAAACACTGCTGGAGGCTTCAGTTTTACCTGGATGCTGTGTGCAAAGTAATGATGGCGGATGAAGCTTCTTAAAACACTGAAGCTTTCCATCCAATTGCTTGAGTTAATTTCTCCAATGTGGGACAATGAAGGATTTAAGCACCAAGGCGCTTCATTTGCTCTATTGTGCCATCAAGTGGACATTAATTATGCAGAGGTCCTCAGCAGGGGGTCCGCGACCCCTAGAGGGTCCACAGAGGTACTGCATGTGGGTTGTGAAAGTTTTGGTTGATTAGACTTTTTTTTATATTCCCCCCTGCAAATTTGTCCACTAATTGAAATATCTTTAAATACACATTATCATGAATTCAACACACTGTAGTAAATAGATAAATGGAGGCAGGAGATGTCTTTCAGTCATCGATGCACACATTCAGCGACACACAAGAGCTCATTGAACCTGGGCACCGTTTCATCCACAACACCTAGAATAGAATTAAAATTATATTCAACTTTATTGGCATTGCACTGTCATGAGTACAAAGCAACGAAATGTGGTTTGCATCTATCCAGAAGTGCTATAAAGGATATAAATACTACTACAGTTGTATGTACAAGCAAAAAGTAATAGTTAGGTACTGTAAAAGTTGTGTATAAATATGAATATGGGAGCTACATGCACAGATTATACAGATTATACAGAATATACAGGAATGTTAGGAAAATGATTATGTATGTATTGGCAGGTTTATAATACAAGATAAATAATGGCAGATAAGATTTACAGATTATATACAGATTGAGCATGTATGTGTCCATATGTAATGTATGGGGGGGATACAGTCCTTAATGAGGAATCAGACATACTTCAATAATCCCGGGGCGAAATTACTTTCGATACATGATTCCATCTGTAATAGATTGACTATAGGACCAGTTTGATATAACACAAATTG